CGTGCTTAAGAGAAACTGTAAACTAACTTGAAAGCATTTGTGGCCGAGAGTTTATTCTGTCTTCAATAAGACGTTGCCTTACAGGCCGCGATTTTACACGAAAAAAGGTGAGACATTAATATATATGACCCGCTCATCATGGTTATGATAAAATCTACTTCTATGAACCTAGTCAACGTCTTGGTCCGTTTTAATCAACTGGTATAATATATTGTTGCTCCTTCCCACATATCCAATATGGATATCCACCGTCACATCTTCCTTCTGAGCGGTTTCGAAAACACTTTTTTTTTCATTTATCTGCGTTTTTCCCCTTATCCTGTAACGACAACGATGATATGACCTACAAGTGACCGAATTCCTCATTCTTTAATTTTCAAGAGAATGCAAATCAAGAGAATTGCAGGCAATATTCGTGCATTATTTTTTTTAATTGACAAATTGCAACAAAGAACCTGACGAAAAGAAAAATTATTGTTGAACCAAGTTTTTTCACAAGTTAGACAATAACAAGTGTAAATGCACACGGGCGCACGTGCAAGAAAACAAAAGTATATATCTATCTATATATCTCTCTATATGAAAACCTTTTTGAAAACGGGTGTGTATATATATATATTAGTGGTGTTTGGCCTGACAATGCTTAATTCAAATCAGACTAATCACATTAAACTGTGTAACAAACTAGCCAATCAAAAATGCTCACATATGTCCTTGCGACTGCGGGATTCAAACATGATATTGTGCACTAACTCGCAGACACTCTGTACAGAAGGTTTAGAGCATCTGCGATGCAAGCAAGTTTAGCCAAGCAAGATCATCATTGCAAGTTAAGCTTAAATTATGATAAACAATTTATCAAAGGGGGCTAACTATGAGTTGTAAAAAGGGGGGTACCTATGAGTTATTATTTAAGTATATTCATAAGTCTCGCTTGCTTAAGAAATGAGGAGGCAATTACATCTACATGAAGCAGGACTTCCTCGTGACAAGTTTTTAACTTCATACTTTATCGACAGTCAGGTATTCTTCAGGATATTTTATTTTATATAAGGTATTTGACAATTTGTTTCTGAATTGATAAGTACATGTGTATAAATACACGAAAATTAAGGGCCTAGATTCAAGAGAAATTACATCATTGCCAGAGAGCACAAAAAGTGATGAACATGGCATGTCATTTCGGTCATCACTGAAAATGAAATGTTCAATGAAAGTTCACAACACCTGACCAGTTAGCCACACCATCGGCACCATTGATCGAAGTTTTGCTCATTAAGATTCTTCTTTTTCTCAACCACTTGTTCCAAAGCAATCAGCACTTTCAAGCAATAGAATTCATGGACCAACCTATTCCGGAAAAGCTCTAAATCTTTTGCATTAACTTTTCCTAAGCTTTCTTCACAAAACATTCCTGGATCCTGAGTCATGCCGCAATTCTTTATATCCCAAGTTTCCATGGTCTCCGCTATGTTCAACCCTGCAGGGACCATGTCTTCTCTTTTGTTGACTAAATACAAGGAACAAAACATGGCTTACAGATTCTGAATCTGCAATCGAGACTAACAAGAAATTTGGTCATCAGTTTTGTTAGTCTTATATGACATAATACAATTATTATGAATAGCTTAAAAAGTTAATGTAACCTTTCCAAAGCTTCCTTCACAAAACATGCATGGCTCCAGTCACGCCGCAATTCTTATCCGCAGTTCCCATGGTCTCCGCTATGTTCAGCCTCGGCCTGGGACCATGACTTACCTTTTGTGGACTAAATACAAAGAAAAAAAATGGCTTGCAGATCTTAAGTCTGCAATCGAGACTAACAAGAAATTTAGTAATGAATAACTAAAAAGTTAATTTATTTTAATTTTTGGTTTTTAAATCAACAATCTATGTCCTTCATACGTAACAACTAAGAACCTAATTAAGAACCTATGTAGCCTAAATTGCCATTAAGTACCCAAAAATACAAGAACCTATATTGCCAGACTTCAAAAAAAGTAGATTCTTATTTGGTGGTGTTACTGTACCTCATTTACCAGTTTTATGTAAATGATTGGCCACCTTGAGCTTGATGCGCCACAACAAGAGGTTCTTGAGGAATTAAAGTGAGTGAGTTCTCTTGATTCATGTAAGAACTTTTAATGAATAAACCAGTGCTGTGTTTACATTTGATCATTACCAATTCACTGAGGTTATCTTAATTATTTCATGTTTACTGTCAACAGAAAATACGTGTACATTTAACAACAATAAACTGTTTATTAAGTTTAAGGAAAAACTTGCAGTAACTCCAGGAGCCATTACATGTATACCTGCATTAAGGTTCATGAGAAAATGGAAACTGTTACCCTCCATATCGGGATGCGGTTTTTACTACCCCCCACGGAGGGCATCAGAAATTCCAATGGGAAGGGGGGTCCAAGAGAAGACAATTTCCAAGGGGGTGGGGTCAGATTCTCAAGGTCTTTTTTTCCAGGGACTTTGAAACAAGAATTATTGTTTTTATTGATGATCTTACATTAACAGTTTAAAAGCTGAGTGCTTTTTTCACAGCTTACCTGCCTGTATGATATAGTCTACATGTATCTAATATGAATGTCATCAGTTCATGAATAATGCCGGTCATCCAGCTCATTGCTTTATATTTCACAATATAATTGTGGTATTCACTGTGTTATGGTCATGTTCTATTAGCCTTCTTCTAACTTGTTTTTAACTGAAAGGAAGTAATTATTTATTGTTTACTGGTTCTTTCATAGGTGCTCTCATAGTACACTGGACAAAACTGTTCTGGATTGATGTTATATTATACAAAAATAAAACAAGCCAGGGAACCTCAATTATATTTTTCCCTTTTGAACTTTATCAAAATCCACACATGGGAAAATATTTTCATAATGATCATGCAAGGAGGACTTGCATTACAGCGTATCCAAACATGATAACGAAATCCGAAAGGTATATGCAAAATCACGTGATTTCTAAGGAAAAAAATGAATAAAAAATGAAGGGTTGTTATGTTAAGAATATCGCGACATTTTTGTAGATGTTTTGAAAAGCATTTAGCAGGAAAACACAAAGAAAACATAAGGACAGTCTACAACTTATTTGACCACTGAAATATGGCACTTTCTTCAGACTTTCGTCATCTTAAAAGTCTTCTTACCACTAGATCAGTCTTCCATCTGTTTTGAAGATGGCAGCCTGTACGTTGCTCGTGCTCCGTTCCAGCAGCCACGAAATGCTGCTGTGTAAAAGCGTAGTCGGCCAAGAACTTCAGACACTGCTATTTGGGCCTCTCTAATAGTTGCTGGACCATATTTCTTGGCTCTTCTCCCAGGAGCTTGCCATAATAGTCTCACGTTGTGTTGCACAAAAGCTTGAAACAACTCTGTGGATTTGACTCGTTGCCCTTCGGTGGTAGCATATATGTAACATGTATACGCATATATATATGTGTCACAGCTTGAATCTTTGACTCTCTTAACTGCTGATGTATCAAAGGATTATACTGCTGCACGTCAATGACTCCATCCAAGTTATCTTTGCTGCAAGATTTATTTGAAGACAACATTCTAACATGACAACACTTCTTTTTTTTCATCGAAAAACGTGATTTGTTTTCCTTAAAAATTATGTGATTTTGTGTACCTTGGTGATTTTGTTACCAAGTTTTGATACCCCGTAACGCAATTCCTCCTTGTGTGATCAACATGAAAATATTTTCCATGTGTGGAATTTAATATTGTTTAAGGGACAAATATATCATTAAGGGTCCTTATGGCTTGTGGATTTTTGTATAATAAAACGTCAATCCAGAACAGTTTTGTCCAGTTTACTATGTGTCTTGTACGTGTAGGGTATTGTCTCCTTGGTTGTCAGTGACATACACCTCTACTCACTGTTAATAATTAACAAAGAAAGACCTGTACAAGAAGGTAAAACTGAGAACATTAGACACTGTTTTAAGATGAATAAAAAGATTTTTCCTCTCTTTATCACAGAAAACATACAATTGTCTTCTGCATAAAAGTATAGTGCAACCGCATTTTTGAAAGTGCCTTTCGCTATTTCAATCAATCAATCAATCAACTTTATTGGTACAGTACAGTATTGTTGTAAAGTGCAGTGAACTCAACCAGAGTGCTGCACCCAATAACAATCAGCCAATCACAAGTCATGTTTACAAGGACAGTTAGTTGCTTGTCAAAAACAAGATATCTCTTTAAATCTCAAAGTGCCACCGCCCAAGTGTGCTTGACGCTACTATTAAACCATGATTAATAGTAGCATCAAGAAATCCAGTCAATACAAAAATAGCTACTACATTTGGAATTCATATTTCAGAAATAGTTTGCTTGCGCAGTAAGCAGCTGATGTATAATTTGATCTTGAAATTGGTGTAGCTAATGTGGCAGAATTACCAAGAGAAAATGCAATGAAATATTTATTTACATATTTCCTCTCCCAATAGATAAGAGCACCTGCCGGAAGATCCTGTTCCCAAACTTGCTACTTACTGCCACTTGTTGAAAAAGGGAAGAAAAATAGCTAACAACTGTTTACAGCCGTAGTAATTCTTATTGCAATTTTTTTTTCTAAATCATACATAAAAGACCATTGTCAAACGCTTTTGAAAAAGAAGAGTAGAGATCAACCAAATGCAACAACGCGACATGTTTTGATATTACATGTCACTATCACACGCGATGCTTGACTTCCGCGACCCCGGAGTGCAATGTGAGAAGTGAAAAATCAGTTACTGTGCCCAGTAGGCTAAATGCTCCAATTGTCCTTTGACGGTTGAACAATTTGACCCTGCCAGCCCGCGTCGGTTTGAAATTGTCGACTTGACGGTTGGAGTTCGTTGCGGGTCTGCTCTCGACTCGCCTAACCTCAGCCCTGTATTGCCCACTTCGTTGTCGATTTAGGACCTTCGAAATGGGAATTTTGGCCATGTGAATGATGGAAAATGTGCGTTATTTATCAGGACATCTGCTTCTGGCGGAATTGTCTCCATGTCGCAAATGTCACGGAATTTATCGCCGCCGAGAGCGGAGGCGGTCAAGAGAGGTTTGCCAACCTTCTCTTCTCTTCTCTCTACTGTCATCTGGGTGAAAAACTGTCGCTCCAAAAAAGGCCTTAAACAGTGCCTAGGAGGTCTGAAATGCAGTCAGAATACAAAGAAAAACAAGAAGACGCTAAAGGTAAGCTTCAAAGCGATATTCAATGTACATTTTGCTAATTTAGTGAGCAAAGAATATTTCTCCATACAACGTCTTATAATTTTCTTGTATGAATAATTAATTAGCTAAATAGGATAATGTTGTTCAGGGCTCTCGTAGTGAGCTTGGGCTACCTCTGGATGCACGTGCAGAGTTGTTGCTTTGCCTATTTATTTCAACCTATTGCCTTTTTGACGTTCTCTTTGTCATCACCGTTGTGGTATCTTAAAGTCCCTAATGATAATTTTTTAATGCTCTCTTCGTTGGTTAATTATTAACAAACCCCAGCCCAACCTCTAATCAGGGGGAACCTCTATTCAAGGGACACTTGCTTTAGTCCTGAGGGAGTCCCCTGAATAGAGGTTTCACTGTATTTGTTTTATCTATTGCTTCAAGTTTATTTTTTTTTTGTTTTCAAATCTCACTTAATAACTTTCTGTGCTTTGCACTGTGAGCCTGTCGACTTTCTTGATCGGTACTATTATGATAATCTTTGATAACTAAGACTTTTTTATGCTCCATTTCTTGTACACTGTAGAAGTTAAAATTCTCCTCTACATGTAATAGTATTGCATGAAACCTGAAATGATGCGACAATGGCCGCTATTGTCAAGTGAAATTTACCCTACGTTATAAAGTTATTCTTCAGGTATTATTAAGTCAGTCCGATAATGAGTTTTTTGTGTGTCTTAAAAATAGTTATCATCTTAATATATTTTTTTAATCACTTATTACCCTTCTTTGTTCAAATTAATAATAATCTAATAATAATCTTTATTGAGATGACTTTTTCATATAAAATATGGTTTTTACATGTAAAAAGGATCTCATAAAATTAAAAAAAATACAAAATACACACAATTCGCAAAGACATTTAAAAGCTAAAATATGTAACAACTATTAAAAAGTACAAGATATTAACTCAAATTCATTTAAATTATAATTTTTCATGTAATGTCGGGGAGAGAAGATGTTACCTGGCATGTTCATGGTAGGGAATTAAGGGAGATGTGGTGTTGCCCTCTACCTAAAGGTCTGGGGACGAGCCAGGGACCACATGGTCTAGTGTATACTGGGCAACCTCATAGGGATTGGCTGGGAAAACAATGAACAAACAATGTAACAATGGAACCTAGCCCGAAACAAAAGAGCTGTGACATACAGGAATCCAAACAAATTAGGGGTTCTAAAGAGGTGCAAGGCTACGGTTTTGACAAATGATTCTGAGCTAAACATATTGTACAAATTTTGCTTTAGGTGATGACCTCTTGGTTAAATTAGCCTGCGAAACGCATATCTATGTCCGGTTTTTCGGAGGGAGCGAAGCGACGACCGGAAATACTTCTGCGTTTCACAGGCTATGGTTAAATGGGGTGTGAATATGGTTGTTTTCAGGAAACGCCTTTTTTTTCGGAAACGCCCGCTGATAAGAAGGTCCCGTTTTTTGAAGTAGGTTCTTGTTCTTGGGGTACTTATTGGGTACTTACATGTAATTAGGTTCTTACAAGTAATTTTTATGAAGGACATAATAGATTGTTGATGATGAGAAAAATAAATAAATTTTCTGCTTATTCACAATTATGATAACCGTATTAACAGAACTTATTACCGAATATCATACAGTTTAGTACAGCATGCTTTTGTTGTACTTAAATTTACAACTCAAAGTTACACTCCTTTGTTAAACTGTTTATCATAATTTAACTGTAAAAATTAACCACATATAAGAACCTGCTTGATTTAGCTTGCCTAAACAGGTTCTTGTATTCTTAGGTATTAAAGTGCAGATTTCTGCCAGGAGGTTCTTAACAACAGGTTCTTATAGTCAAACCAGACAAACCTGTATTAAGCAGACCTCTATAAGCGGTCACCAATTAAAGTCCTGGAAATAGCTTCCCTTAATTATTGTAAAAACTGATCTGTATTTAGCAGTTACCTCTTTTAAGCAGCCGTGGTCACCTGTTTTCAAGGTCCTAATGAGCAATTTGTTATTGTCTTTACCTTTACACTGTGTAGGGTGTTTAGTGGTCTTTTACAGACTTGCCAACCCCCAAAAGGCATAAAATAAGAGATTCTGAACCTAGAGCTAGGAAAAGTATTGCAGAGAAATAGGTATAAAGCCGCGGGCCATAAATTATGGGGCAAAAGAAGGATCGTGGTTAATTTTAATACTGAAAGATTACAACTAAACCACAGTTTGGTACCTTGTTATGGGTCAAAAAAGATGACGAAGGAAAGGATAGGTCTTTTTGTCTTATCTTTGGTCCGTATATTAAGTTGAGGATCGAACATTTACCAATCTAGAAAAAGAAATATAAGTTATGGTGAAAAAAAGAACGAAAATATAAATATGAGCGGTGTTGACAAATGATTTTGAGCAGAACATATTGAACTCATTTTGTTGTAACTGAGGGCATAACTGCTTATCCTGTAGCAAGTGAGATCTCAGTGAAATGATGGGCTGTGAATTGTTGTGTTAAGTTGTTATTTTACGGAAAACCTACTGCCACTATAGTCAATATAACTTAAATTATATCATTATCTTTCCTTACAGTTTCAGTTTTCCATTCTACCTAAAACTACAGTGACGGTCACCGAGGATACATTTACAATTAGCGAACTAAAATCATGTTATGGGGGTCCTCAAAGCGAAACTGTTCGACTAAAAGATTATGATCCAAGTGAGCCTCTGCTTTTTTTTAAGAAGATGCCCGCCACCGTGACTATCAAAGGTAAGAGTTTGAAATATGGCTTTTAATAAAAAGAGGAATAATGTTAAACTTACTGTATGTACTGGGTTTAGAAACAGGTAGCTCACGCTTATGGCGAGAGGAGTTAGTCTGTTTTTTTTTTCTTTTTTTATTAAGAAGCTTATGGTTAAACCCGTCCATATGTATGGATAGCTGGGCTTAAATATTTAGCATTGATTAGTGAAGTATTCCGACTGAATTTTATAAACATTAACGCTTATGAATTTGGTCAACCGGCAATCCTCGCGTCAAAACGCGCTGTTAACAGTGTCAAGAGGGTTACACTACAACAACCACATTTATCTACTTAAGGCGTATCTCACGTAGCCTGCGGAGCAGGCGTCGAAAGTGGTAGGGGACTGGGAGGAAGGGAGGGGAAAAAAGAGGGGGATTGGGGAGAGAGGTATATCTCACGCTGGCCCAGAATGTGGAAACGCTCAATAGCGCTATAGCCTATCCATCGCAAAATTAAACAAAACTAACCTGTAAGTTGAATTTTTATTGAGATTCTACTGAGTTATAAAGTGCTGGGAGCAGGTAAAAGTAAAAAGGAAACATTTATTGAAAAAGAGTACTAGCCTGCAAAAGGCTTCAAACTAGATTAACTAAAAGAAATATACGCGTAGAATACTACATTAAAAGTACGCGCGTACGGTATTTACGCACGAGTTGTTGACGTATCAGAGAGATGCAAAAAACAAATTCGTGCTTAAATACCGCACAAAGCACTTTCCATGTGGTTTTGTCTTTAGTATACATGTACGGTCTACATACCGAGAGATCATTCTGCCAGCCTTTTATTTTAAAAATTTCCAGAGTGCTAAAATGATAAACTTGCTGCTACACATTGTGAAATGACTTGAAAGGAAACGACGTCCCTGTGCGTGACGTCGTCTTTAAAACCTATAAGTATTAAAATTATAACGAGCATAAGGATATGAGGTACAGGCGCTGATCTAGGATAACTACTGACCGATTTTCTAACGGCGAACGCCGAAAGCGCAAGTTTCTAGGGAGGTCCGGGGGGAAGGCTCCCCCGGGAAAATTTTCTGATTTTAACTTCCTAAACACCCTTTTCCTTTGTTTCTGAGTCATTCAGACATGATATTGGCCAGTTGCGGATATATCCTTGCAAATCGGCGGATTACTTCATCAAGGTCAATTTCGGTATTGTAGTGGATATGAAGCAAGGCGAGTCCAAACCATTTTTAAGATTGACTTGGAAATTTCTATATTATTAAAAATGTATTTATTAAGAAAAATCCGACCGATTCCCGTAAATCGATCTGTGGAAACTGGTGTGGATCCGCGCCTGAGGTAATACAAGATTATACTATTAGTTTACCGTCTTGCTTTAAGTAATGTTCCACGCAAGAACAAGGCAGAGCAAATGCACGCAGCGCCGTAGGGCGCTAAATGTTGAATTATTAACCCAATTAAAATAGAGCGTTTTGATTGGTCAGATACCCCAAAAATGTGAAAAATTAGCCAAAAAGTCGCTTTTTCTCATATTTTTTGGATATTTTGGGTCCCAGGGTCCTATTTGCTCTGTATACGGAGTTTCGCTTCTTTTGGCCGTTTGCATCTGTAGTCTTTTATCTGTCGGTGGTTGTTCATATTCGAAGTTTCTTTTATCAAAGAGAGCGTTTTTAAGTGTTTTTTCTCGGCATAAATATGCCATAGAGGCCTTCGTGCTGTTGCCCTCAACACGCTGCTTGGGGACATGCGGATGACCTCGCGATTTTCCGAGTAGCGACCGACTTGGAACTGCGTTTTTGCGGGGTCAACCTAGATGGTCGACGCAACAACAGGAAAAGGAAGATTTGCTTGTCCTGCAGAGATCGGATAAAAATGGAAAATAAATGCGATGAGCTACAGGTATGATGATCGGTATCATGATCTTTTGTTCATAAAAAAGACTTGTAAATCAATAAAAGACCCATACTTTACATATCGCGTTCCTATTTCTGAATCTGGATGGTTCTGAACAGTGAAGAAAAGGAAATGAACGATTGCTGTTAAAAAGGGGGTACGGAAAATTAAAAATCTTTTGTCAGGAAAATATCACAGAAAACAACCAGGTTCTGGAAAGTCTAGTTTTTCGCGAGGCAGCAGAGGATCTTCAGTGTGATGGTCAGACACAAACAGATCCAGTTCCTTTGACCAGTCAAGGTATTCAGGTTGGGGAGTTCCCAAATAGACCATACCAGCTGTATGAGACCAGAAAAAAAAATGAAATCCGGACTGAAGTAATTGAAAAATTTCGTGATCTGTTGAATCTTTATGTACATGGTGATGAATCTGCACTGCATGACCTCCTTGATGATCTCCTTCTCTCCAAAAAATGGTCAAGCACCTTTGGAATTTTACCAAATAGTAAAGGAGATTTTACTGTTCATGACAAGGTGCTGCATTCTATTTTAAACGAATACAAGGACTGCAAAAACAAAGAAGTGAACAGTGAAACAAGAAAGCAAGCTAAAAGGATGACCCAGGCCATCAACATTTCAGGGACATTGTCAAAGAGCAAAATTGCATTTAATGGTAGCACCTTTGACATCTTTAGATCACGAACAGATGCAGTCCGTAACTTAGAAAGGGTCAACTACAATTCTGCAGAAAGAAGGCTTTTTTCTATTGTTGCCAGTGACTATCCACAGCCTCTCTTGACTAAACTGTTCCAGTGTTCAAAAAGTACAGTTACTGCTGCTAGAGTTCACGCTATCTTGTTTGGAAGAGGAGGAGTGTCCCCTGCATCTATAAAATTTTCTCGTCAATATGTTTCACAAGAAGTTCTTGATCAATTAGGGGATTTTCTCTTAAGAGACGATGTGTCACGTCCTTCTTCTTGTCGCAGTGTGGTCATTGAAGGCAAGGAGTGCCCAGTTAGATACTGGCAGGATTCCATCAAACAATTGGTGAGACAGTATCAATTGGAATTTCCTAATGGTGTGAAGAGGAGTTACATCTACGCACACATTCCAAAGAATTTCAGAAGCAACACCATGCTTGCGGGCCTCTGCAATATTTTTGAGGACTATGGGTTCTCTAGTTTTGCTAAGTTGAGGGAACTTGTGCAGAGCATAGCAACTGACTACCCATGTGAGGACCTTTCAAGTGTTATCAAAATGATTTCTGGTCTGCAGCGTTACCTGAAAACAAAGTTTTCTAATCAGGTATTTTTCTTTTTCTTTTTCTCTTCTTTAACAAATACAACAGTCTACTGGTAGCGGTCATGACCTTTAATTCAGTTACAGGTTGACAAGAAATACAAAGAAAGAGAATTACACTGTACCTATACTTTTCAGGTCTCAATGTTTAGTTGAAAACAGGATGTGAGATGACAGGTGTATGTTGCATTGTTGATGCACATGCCTTAAAACATATAAGAAATTTTAAGAACACAAACATTCCACGTTAATTTTCACCCTAGCTGTTATTTGCTTGATTTACTTAGGTGCAAAATCACTCCGCATACCTGGAACTTTGCATGGGTCATGCATTACAATCATGTGCCCTTGACCACCCTGATGAATGTACTGAAATGAGGGCAGTGTATGACATACACTCAAGTATGTCAACTGCTATTTCAACAGCCACAGCTGAAAAACAGCAAGCTTTCAAAGATCAACTTGATGACTTCATGAGAAACTTTTGGGAATATGTTGGTCATATTCTTAGAACAAAGCACCAGGGTGATTACTACAGGTACAAAACCTCTTGTGTTTGGTGACGTGTGATACCTGGTTCCAGCTTTAATTATTATTACTGTAATATTATTACTAGTTATTATTAACCAAAGAAATTTTGAAATTTATTGAATACCAAAGAACACCCTCTGGCACATCTACAGAGATAAGCGTAATGAATTTCATTCCTTTTTCTTTGTCAAGTTAGAGTGCTGTTTCTTACTTTCAGCTTTTTGCAACATAGTTTTTCACCTGCTAGTATAATGTAGTACATCATTTTGGCATGTTTTAATGGTTTTCTGTTATTTATATGTATTGAATAGAAATATTTTGGGATTCACACTCTCGTTTATAAGTTGAAAAAGTGTTGGATGTCTCCTCATTCACTTTATTCTTGGACTCGAAACCCAAGTAAAAATCACTTGGGTCCTATTGATGCCTTACCATTGAAATATCATTGCAACACCTTTTCCTCCATACAATCTTACACTCCTTTTCTGCAGCAGGGCTGGTCAATAATATTGATAAAGTAACATGTGTTTAAAAGTTCTTATTGGTTACTATCAGTCTTCAAAACTTGCATCATATTGACATTTGCAGTTTGAATTTGATTTTAATAGGAAATTTTAACTGACACCATTTTTTTTTTGTCATAGATATATTTTGAAGAACCTCCAGCCTGGAGAAGCAGTGGTGGTGATAGATTATAAAATGAAGCTTGAACTTGGAATGCATGCCAGAGAGGTTCAACGAGACTGGTATGGGAAGCGTGGCATTTCACTTCAGGGATTCTATGTCATTGCACAAGTTGCTCCTGGAGAGCGACAAATTGAGGTTCTAGATCTTTGGAGTGAAGACACCAAGCAAGATGCTTGGTTTACCCAGAGTGCCCTTGGTGTTGGTTTTGAATGGATGGAGAAAGTTTTTCCAAACTTGTATTTGTTTTCTGGTAAGTTATTTCTGTGCATTAGCTCATACTGCCAAAAACCTGAGTCACAACTCAGTAAATTCGCCAAGGCAAGTCAATTCTCAGCCCTGAGGGTTTTATTCCCTAGTAAACTCTGAAATGGCTTGATCTCCTTGGTAAAGCCTCTCCACAGATTGCCATTACTAATTGGTTTCAACTGAACACTGACATTACATATATCCTCTTCTGAAGTTCAGTGTTCTAAGAGTTTAATTTACAGGAGTACCATAATGCTCATACTAGACATGTTTTTCTATAGACAATGGACCTCACTATCACAACACAGCTGTGTTGTTATACCTGGCAGAGGTAAATGCAGCCTTTAACATCAAGCTACTAGAATACAATAACTTTGAAGCAGGAGAAGGAAAGACAGTTCTGGATACTCATTTTGCCCATGTGTCTCATAAAATAGTGCGTTGGGTGCGTGTGGGCAATAACTTAGACTCAGGAGAGCAACTGGCAAATCTCTTGGAGGTATGGATTATTAAAACTAAAATTGAGCTACACTGTTCTGAATACCTACATGGATTTTCAGTGAGGCATACAATCTTTACCCTGGCTTAAAAATTACTTTAATTCAGCTAAGTTGTCCTCTAGGCTAGCAGCTCACACATTGACTATTCAAAGTGTTTTGGGTATTTATTTAATTCTTGTTCCAAGCAACATGTACACGCTTATGGAGTTGAAATGCTGTCCCATGAAAACTGATCAGTGCCTTTCATCACTTAAATAGCACCTTAAATGTTTTGGGTATTTATTTAGTATTGTTTCAAGTAACATGTACATGCTTACAGAGTTGAAATGCTGTCCCATGAAAACTGATCAGTGCTTTTTCATCACTTAAATAAATAACCCCTCAAATGTTTTGGGTATTTATTACATATTGCTTCAAGTAATATGTACATGCAGGATGCTTACAGACTTAACGTGGTGTCTCTTAAGAACTTATTAGCACTCTTCATAGTGATCAGTGTGGAATTTTTCCCTGATGTATAGCCTAGTGTAAGATTTGTGGAATAAATTTTTTTGATTTAAGTCTTCATTAATGCTGTACATCAAGGCATTTAGAAATGATGGTCTTTGTAGTATATTATGTCATGTTTCTTGTTCTTTTGTTCTAGACAATGAAGAATGTGAGATACAAAAAACTTGTCATCGACCGATCAAAAGCACCAGGGAAAATCGGGACTTTTAAAGACATCTCTCTTTATGGCAGCTTCAAATTCCCCTGTAATGGTGCAAATGCTGGTGGTATTACAGCACAGTCTCTTGCTGGTCAAGCAAAATGTGTCAGCAAAACCAAGGCTCAAGTTCAGGCACTCTCAATGCGAAGTGTGCCAATTGCTGGAAAAACAGCTGCTATTGTGACGGAAGACATGTGGCAACCATCAGACAAGACAGTGGAGGGACATTGCATACAGAATGAGTCCTATTCTGTAAAGTTCATTCACCTTTCTCCAACTACACCTGAGGATCTAGTTCTCGCACCTGGAAATGATGCAACTTCCAGCAATGACCTTAAGCCTGCAACAGGATACGAACTTAAGAAAGGTGGAGCAAAGAAAACTACATTCACCAAGGAACAAAAAGAGATCATGATACAGTTCTATGATCGCCAAAAAACATCACAGATAAGAGCCAATCCAGCTGATGTTATCAAAGCTATGAGATCTGCTGGCATTCCAGAGCTGAAAGAATCGCAGATTAAAAGTTGGTGGTCCACCTACCATCGCAAACAGAAACAGCTAGCAGAAGAAATGTTCGAGGAAGCACGTCAGTTAAGAGACCATCTACAAGGGCAGCAAGGTACTTATATATTTGCATCTTGTTTGGATGGCATGTCTTGTCAGGGAAGACAACCACCCACTATCCATTTTGTTTACCTCCTTCTGTAGGTAAAAAGACAGGAGGAAAAAATACTTTTCTTCAGGGGTTGTAGCTCAATTTCTGTGTCTCCTCATCCTAACATCATCCATAGTCATTAAAATAAGGGTTATGACACACAGGAAATTGAGATACAACTAGTAAGGAAAATTCTTCCTACAATTTGTCATTTAGTTTTCACTGACAACATATCTCTAGGAATCTTTAACTTGCAAATATTCATAGCTCCTCTAAAATTTTCTCTATCCCACACCAGTTTACTATAAAAATGATACTCTGCACTACTACAGCTTGTTTTGAAGTACCTTTTCTTTCCTGGTTATAAGAGCCCCTCCCCCCCCTTTCCCTTCCCCCCTCCCTCCCCAATTTTTTTCCTGCCTTATTTATGTCCTCCCCAAACACTATGCACATAAATATTTATTCACTCACTTTTCATATGTTGCTTTTATGTTTTTATTTATATCTGTTTTTGGATTCATTTTTTTATTCCCCCCCCCGTTTATTTTAAAAAATATTCTCCTTCCTACTCACTGTTTTTTTTAGATACCCTTTTTTTTCTGGTTTAAACAGCCCCCCCCCCCCCCTCCCCCCCCCCCCCCCCACTTAAAATATTCGCCTCGTTGTTTATAGCCCCTCCTAAAAACCGGCACAAAGATTTATAAGCCCTGGCTTATAAGTTTGAGTTTAGGGTATATTTATAACAGTCTTTGTTCAGAGTTCTTTGTCCATGTCTCATTTTTGACAAAACAGCTTGCATGTAGGCTAAGGGTACTTCACTACATTTAGGGCTCATAGAGAGCATATATGTCCTCTGTGTGCATTTCTTTATGTACATATAGCCATATTATTATTAGTCTAATATTGTTATTATTGCAAAATGCAATACTTAATTGTTATTTCATGTGCTGAAGTTAGCTAAGAGGTCAATTACCTTTCCTTTTTTGACATCAGATTGTGGTTCTCAACCACCTGTGCCAAGTACTACCATGCCCACTGTTGCTGTACCAGACTCAGCCGTGACAGATTCTGTAGTTCCGGACTTGGTTGTACCAGACTCCGACATACCACAGTCAACTGGACCAGGCCTAACCGTATCAGACTCCTGCCATCCCTGTGTTGGGATCAGTGAACTCTGGTAACCAACCATGTACCCAGTATTACCCACTTGTGCCTCCCCAAACAATGATTACATTATCCAGCGCTCCATTTTTGACCGGGGTCTTGGAATGGAGTATCAGTGAATCACAAGCAGATATTATAGGAAGGACAGGGAGCAATGCTTGTGTTTTCATTGCCCTTTACATGGGAAAGCTCTGTGTCCAAAAAAATTTGACATGGCCGACAGATAACCTTTTTCGGAATCCTGGCAAACATCCCTGAAAGAAGCCATGATCAAGGGAAACCTAATTGACGATGACCTATTTGATCAGGAAGGAATAAATGTGACTGTTGATGATGCGGTGTCAATGGCAGGTGAAGAATGTGGGGTGCGAGCATTGGGACCTCAGGTGGACATCTTTGGTTTGAACACTGTTGATCAGCTGGCTAATTTTGTATCCAGGAGGCCCAGAACTTAACACGATCTTATTTTTTCATTGTTGCACACGAGCGTGCTTCTCTTGTTATTGTTCACAGTGATCAATCTGCAATGATCATTGATTCACATCGTCATATGAACAAGGGAGCCATATTTGCATGTAGTCAGGCAGGGAATCTACCCCTCCTTGCTTTATGGTTCGATGCCATGATGAAGGCAACTTGGCAGTGTTCCTTAACCATAGCATCTATATCTAAGGTCCTTTACTGAACAATGTACCATACGCCCCACGAGAATGTTTGACCACTAGAGTTGCAAACACAGCAAGAAAATGGACTATATATTTTGTATTGTAAACATAAACATTTATTTGAGTTAGGTAACAAAACGTTCATAAAATGAAAAAGCAGTTTGATGAGATCATAACCATATGAGTTACAGATATTTTCTGTAGGCTTTAGAATTGAAAGCTTACGCGAGTGTTGTACAATCAGCTAATCCTTGCGGGCAAAAAATTTTGATTCATTAGAAACCTGTCGTTTTGATACAAATCGTTTCGATACGAACTCAAGCCGTGAAACTACACAACAATTTCGATCACTTCTAATATTGTTTATCCGGGCAATTATTACTCGTTATTCAAGTCAAGTACCCGAAATTATTTACATCTCGTCTGAATCATTTTGCATCGAAAATGCTTTGTATCGAAACCACCGAAAACTGAAAACAGAACAAGCATCTAAAATTTGACTATTTTTTTTTTTACTTGAACATTTTATTAGAAATAGATGTTTTCATATTCGCCAATAAAGAAAACGGTTGGTTCTGATCCCTTTTTGCCTATCAGTATTGAAAGGAACTCTTTGTTTTCAAAATCTACTCAAACTAGTCGCGCGCGCGGGAACATTGTCAAACTGTTCGCTTCGCTTCTATGTCCACTGAACAATGTTCACTTGATGTGCTCTAACTAATACGATCAAACGATGTAGTTCATTTTCGATCAGTATGGATGAACATCGAACATAAGTGCAACAATTACAGCACGAATCTGATTGTAGCGCAGATCGTTTGAGTCAAAAATTTCTCAAAGTGTTACGTTGCGGCGAGTTAGATGTTCCTCTACGCGGGCGAACGGCTCCTCCTCGATCTCCAGTTCCTTTAGAAGCGTGTTGACCATGGTAACTTCTCCTCGGCCACTTGCAATCATGTCGAGTGTATAAATCTCAGCAGTTGCTTCTGCGACCTTGAAGTTTTTGGCGATATCAGCGAATGACTCTCCTTGCGCCCACCTTTGAAATGCAGCCTCTTTCTTCGGGAAAGTACTGATTTTGCCATACATTCTTCTTAGGGAAGATAACTAAGAAGGAATATCAAACAAAAATTACTGAAACTACTATGGGGTACTCGTTACTTTTTAGGCACATAACAGCAAACCAACAAGTTTTATTTTTAAGAAAAGTAGAATGTTGATCACGTTGATCTATTTTATCTTCTAAATATTTGTGCTTACATAGATGCCTTGGTGTATTTCCACTCGGCATGAGATAGATAGATAGTTTATTAAAACTGCATCGCAGCCAAAGGCTGAATTACGCAATTATTTACAAAAACTTTACAATACTTGAAAATTACAAATGAATCCTAGATAATAAGTCAAAAACTGGTTTTTAAGATAATATTAATAAAAATTCTATATAATACATTCATATTAAAATATGTTAAAATATAAAGCATGAATATAAGTGGGATAAAACTACAGCCCGGACTGTTTCGACATCGCATATATGAAAGTATTACTTGTTCTCAAGCATGTTTCGAAACCGTATAATTTTACCGCGACAGCAGAATCCAATATCGCACTCAACAGTATCAGACCACCTTCCTCGCGGAAGTTAAATACCAAACCTAGTGACTGTTACAATAGTTTTAGCCTGCTACATAATACGTAATAATGCTCCAAAATGGGTGTTAACCCCACCTCTATCGCCGAGTTGCACTTTCCTGAGGTTATTATTGATACTGCTCTTTTCTCGAGCCGTACCAGCTCTTTCTTTAAGTACTGGGGGAGACCGTTGAAAAAGACAGGTGTTGCATAATCAATAACAGATCTCACGCACGATACATAGAACAGTGCTAGATCTTGTTTCGGAACTCCCGCTCTCTTTAACTGAGTTAGGAAATAGAGTCTCTTGCTAGCCTTTTTGGTTATTTCAGTTACATGGTCGTTCCATGATAGATCGTTCGCTATTGTAAGGCCTAGTAGCTTTGTACTAGTAACTAACTCTACCTCCTTTCCTTCTATGATGATGGGATCAAAGACTCTTTGCTTTTTAGCAAAGGAGATCCTGAGTTCTTTGCACTTATCGGCGTTTAGTTGAACTCTGAGCATTCTCCTTCTTCAGCTGGTCTCTTCAGCTCCTACAATGGCACAAGAAAACGTGATAAGTAAAGAAAAATTCAACATTTTGCTTGAAAATTTTAAGACGAATCGCCACTTACTTTCTTTCCATCTTGACGGGTAATTGTGGGCGTCTTTGCCGGTACGCGTGCTCTTCGTGAATGAATTCGAAGCGCGTCTCATATGAGAATAAAATGTTCTCACATGTAAGTTATAGAGGTGGCAAATTGTGTAGGACAATAGCCAGTTATGAATCTCCTTTGTTTAGAATAAACAAAGGTCAATTGAGAACAAGTCCTTTTCATTCGGAAAGTAAAAAGACAATAGCGAGATTTCTCACTCTTCATTTTGAATGGACAAGCCCGCAGTGAAAGTGGCTTGTCAGATATATCCATATCAGTTGCTACTTCGAGATCTCAGAGAAATAAGGTTGAAATTGTGTACTTTCGGAAAACAACGTCGGGATAGAATTTGGCTGAATTAGAAACGACGGTGTGAATTGAGTTTTGAATACTACTGGACTGATAGGGCATCCCTAAACTTTTTACTCGGTGACAAGACCAGAATGAAAGTTTCATCGAAGCTTTGGATTTATGTCTTTGCTTTTCTGGACGAAAAGGACTTAGTGAGTGCTGCTGGCGTGTGTTACGAGTGGTGGGAAATGATCTTCAGAATCAGAGAGTCCTTTCTGGTGGATTTAGCGTGGGAGGAACTGGATCTTTCGGGACGAGGAAGTTTGTATCGTTTCGTCCCACTGAGGATGTTTACTGCTTTGATCAACCTAAATTTGTCTTCCACAGCGATCTCAAATCGTCATTCGCAGCAGATAATACGGGTTGCTGCGAATTTGGATAGTCTGAACATTTCTAACTGTCCTGGTTTGAACCAAAGTTGCATCTTCCAAATCAAGCAAGATTTGAACCAGCTAAGAAAATCTCCGGAAACCCTCAATTTACAGTTCTTGCGGTTGCATGTCTTTGCTCTTGCAAAAATCTTCAAATCATTGTAACTTATGGATTGAAGTTAAGTCCGGAGGAATTGCTTTTCCTAACGAAAACATTTGACTCAGTTTCCAACGGAACATTGGAGATAGAAACAGAGGATGGCTACAATGTCGCGAACGCGATGAATATGTTTGCCGAAGAAGTGTTTGAAGACGAACTGTTGTTTTAGCTTTTTTTATTTTCGTTTTGCTTGGTTTTCGTTTCCGTTTTTGTGATTGGTGATTGGAATTTTGTTGTAGACTGCCTAAGGTATACCAGAAGAACTAAACAATGTTTTTAGAAGTCTATTTGCTTCTATTACGGCGAAATGCGATACGTTGTTGACGTAAGAAATAAAACAAGAACCATGCATATAGCCATGTTTTGAGTGTCATGTTTCTTTGCGCGCCCCATCTTGCAACAAAAATGAGTCAGAAATGATACTTCCCCATTTCATATTTTAATGCAACTCGGCAAGCCTATAGGGTTTGGCTTACTTAACAGAAAGGCACTTCAGAAAATTTCGAAAATAAGCGTGTTTAACTTTCTGAAGTGAAAGAAAATTCAAATTTCGCGCGCTCAACGTGGATAGCCAATCATAAGGACCGATTCTCATTTAATTAAAAAGTTGTCGCCTTTTATTCCAACGGTGTATTTTGCGCTACTCCCGCTGTTTTTGGCCTAGTTCTTGCGTGGAACATTACTTAAAGAGTTGCCTGCGGAAAATAAATGAATCTGACCAAAGTGGCCGGTTTGAATTAGCTTAATAGAAAAATAGCTTCTATTAAAAGAACAACTCAAGCTTGCTTGTTTTTTTTTTCCCTTTCTACTCTTGTTTTACAAGCTCTTTACAGTTCTCTTCAGAGGCAATGAAATATACGAAGCTATTCTATTCCAGTTCAGACCCGACTATTCAGTGTTCACTTTTCTACGAGAAAAACACTCCTTTATGGTCTCAACAAATTTCCTTTTTGAATGACTACGAAGCAACTCGCCAAGCAAGGATGCTGCAAGCACCTATAACAGGTCGGAAAATTAGCGCGAAACTCACGAACCGCTTTCGAGAAGAGAGTAGCAATACTCCTAGGCATGTTTCAAGCTAAAGAAACTTGGATAAGTTCCGCCCGTTTTGGCTTTTGACTCGTGTATGTATCACCCACTAATGTACAAATCGACCACTAATGTAGAAGTAACCACTAATAATAATAATAATAATAATAATAATAGTAATAATAATGGGTCTTTATTTCACATAAGATAAAGATACATATCCGATGTTACAACTGTTTATGAATAAAACATTAAAAAAAAACATAGTGAAATATATAACCTAATCATAGAATCCTAATTATCCTGTACTAAGGTTGAGTTTAAATATTAATCTGTTTACAAAGGCAGATATGAAACGCTCAGTATTGATTTTAGGACGGGCACATTGTTTTTTACGGAGATTATAAGAACAGACTTTCTTTGAAGGAATATATGAAGCTAGCGGGTGATTGTTTATTGAAGTTACTTTCTTAAAAACTTTACAGTCTTCATTCTTTAATAGATCTTTGATTGAAAGGAGTAAAATGCTCTGTATAATATTAAGATTAGGTTCAAAAGCTCCATATACGGGTAAACCATAAATAAAATTAGGCAAAACTAAGACAGTGAACAAGTGATCTATTTCAGCTTGTGAATATTCCTCCTTTCTAAGGGTCCTTAAAACATGGATACATTCGTTTGCTTTAATTAATTTGAGATTAACATGCGCCCAAAACTTACAATCACTCTGGATCGTAACCCCCAGTAAAACAAGACTACTGCATTGAGAAATGTCAAATACGGGGTTATATTGAGAGTTGTTGCCTTTACTTCTGAAGATACGTTCTTTACATTTTTTCGGATTGCAAGACATTTTTTTCTCTTTAGACCATGTCATGAATTGTCCCACAAGGAAGTAGCAGATGGATCACATTGATTACTAACAGGAGACACCACTGTAGAGTCATCAGCATATTTAAATAGAGGAGGAGCATTGTTATAAGAAATTTCGAGGTCATTCAAAAATGTATTAAATAGATAAGGCCCGCTCGCGCTTCCTTGGGTGGTTCCCTTGTTAACGACCTTCCAGTTACAGAGGTGATTATTATAGAAAATTCGCTATTGCCTAGCAACCAAGTAGCTATGGTACCAATTAACGATGTAAGGATTGAGGGAAGCTGCTTAAGTTTTTGATTTACGGAATCAAACGCTTTGTTAAAATCCATTGTAAACAAACGAACCGCCTTACAGTCGCTGTTGTCTAGGTGTCTATATACATGGTGTTGAATAGATAATAAGGCGTTTGTGCAGTTACCCCCTTGCCTGTATGCAAATTGGGTGAGGCTTTGGCTCTTTTCTACAATCGCTTTGACATGGGTGTGGTACACAACTTTTTCGAATGTTGTTGCGATCACGGACGTGACGTTGATGCCTCGGTAGTCCGAATTCTCTTTCGGGGGATGTCGAACTTTGGTAGGGGGTTGATGTTCGCCCTCTTCCAAGGGTCCGGCCAGGTGTGAGTTGACAGCGCCAAATTCCAGACTTGGGTTATAACTGACGTTAATAGTTAGGGATAATTCGGCATAATAAAAAACTTAACCACTAACGTAATAACTTTGCGACCATTAATGTAACAAACTCAGAGAGAACAGCGGATTGGCTATTTAGAATTATTAGGATTTATAAAAAATCATACCACCTCGTGCTTTGATGTCAGGCATTACTGTTTCAACGAAATAAGTCGGTTAGGACTTGTTCTATACCCGAAGATTTGATTGCCAAAGGCACAGTGGCTCAAAAATGCTGCAAAACGTTAACTCTTGTGGGGAAGTTTTCACTACCAGTCTGAAAGTGGCAATGTTGAGTGACCTTGTAAACAGAGGAGACTCCCTACAGTTCTCTACATAGCAGGGCTCTGCCCAAAAGGGGCACTAAACATTTTTTTACTCTTAAGTCGTATGCATGAGATGGATGCCTTTTCTTCGAAAAAATGGTAGAGTAAGAAGGTAAGGGGTTTATGCTTTCAAAGAAATTGTGGTGTTGTGTCAGTTGGGGGAATGATTTAGAAATTAAGTATTTTGAACTCAGGGCAAAGCCTCCTCAGGGACCGCAAGCACAAGCATTAACGGTCTCTGATTCGCCAGTTTATCATGCATTTGCACGCCATCGGATTTACAACCCTGATACAAATACAACATAGCTTTCCTCAAGTAGTACACCATCCAAAGTAGTAAACATGTTAAACATGGATGCCTGCGAGAATAACTGCCACTGAGCACGAGCCTTAAGTTGTTTTCCAAGCTCGAAATATGAGTATCGGCGAATATCGGCGTAACATTCGAAATATAAGGATTTGTATGGGAAAAAACCTATCGTTTCCGTGACCTACGGAAAGAATTTCAATAATACAATACAATAATTTTTTATTAACTCTCCCAAAGGGCTATTCTGAAGTTAATTTGCAAATGCGAAAAAGAAGGGGATAAGAAGAAAAAGCTTAAATTAATTACTATCTTGGTACAAAATCAAAAGCCTAAACTATGCGCGTACAATTACGTTATCTCTTTGGAGATCTGAACTAAATCAACTATTAACTATTTAATGCATGGGTCTGCACCCGCAATCCGCGTTTGACGCTCCTCTTAAAGGTACGTAGTGACAGGCTATTTCTAGTGTCTGCGGTCAGAGAGTTCAAGGTACTTACAGCGCGATAGTAAAATGACCGTTGCGCGGTCAAACTTTTTGGTACCTGTTAATACGCGGGCGGCGAAGTTTTGCACTAATTGCAACTTCTGTAGATTTTGCTTTGAGGTGCCTGCCCAGACAGTGGAACAGTAAAAAAGTGTACTAAAAATAAGAGAATTCAAAATAGTTGACAAGACAGGTTTAGTAAACAGGAGTCTGACCCTACTAATCTGACATAACATGAACAGGAGAGACGATGTTAACGTGTTTACATGATCATTAAAGTTGAGGTGTGAGTCCAGTGTAATGCCTAAGTCTTTAACTGAGGATACCAGAGTGAGTTCTTGGTCTGATGTCTGATACCTTGCTTAGGAGCTGCCTTGTCCCGAAAAAAATGAGTTTGGTTTTGCTTGGATTTATTAGTAATTCTACCCAGCAATGAGACTTGGGTCTTCCGTCATTTTTACAAGGCAAGAATTCATATTTTTAGCCGAAAAGGAGCAGTAGATCTTAGTATCATCAACGTAGGAGTCGGTACAGCTGGACTTAACTGCGGAGGGTAGATCATTTATATGTAAGTTGAACAACATGGGACCTAAGATGGAGCCTTGAGGCACACCATGTGTTATCGTAAGCTCATCAGATAGAGAGGTGCCTAATCGAGTAGACTGCTTGCGGTCCGTGAGGTAACTCTCGAACCATTCAAGAGCCTGACTTGATGTGCCTAGGCTGCGTAGTTTGAGAAGAAGTGTACTGTAGCAAGTACTGTCGAAGGCCTTGCTGAGGTCTATAAGGCCCATAGCCGTCAATTGCTGTTGGTCTATAGTCCTGAAGATATTATCACTAACCAAAAGGCTCGGAGTTTCCGTAGAATTGTTCTTGCGGTTCCCGCTCTGATGTTGAGTAAGTTTGTCTTACTTAGTCAGGAAGTCATTAAATTGAATCAAGGCAATCTTCTCAGCCACTTTAGAAAGGACAGGAAGCAACGAGATCGGCCGGTTGTTATTGGGGACCTCATGATCACCGTCTTTTAGGTGGGGTACAATCACAGACTTTTTCCAAGCCCTAGGGAATTCAGAACAGGCAAACGAGGAGTTGATTAGTCTAGTTAAAGTCGGAAGTATGTAAGGGAGGCAGTCCTTGATGACAAACAGTGGAATTCTATCATAGCCAGGGGCCTTGTTGACGGCATAACAGTTAAAACCTCTCGGACTTCAGAACAGGACACAGGTTTAAAGTCGAACAAGTCTTGACCAGACTTCGGTGAATTATTGCTACAAGAGTGGAGGTAATCAGTGAGCCCAAGCGACCGGGCCAGCTCAGCGGATTTACCAGCTGCATTTACTCCAACAGATACAACAAAACTGGTTGAATTCATTAGCGAGAGTACTGGGATCCTTGGTGTAATGCGTGGCTCAACTCGATTTCTTAGGTAGTGCGCACCGAATAGTTTTCCAAATTGCCCCGTTATTGTTCTTATTTGCGCAGATTTGCTCATTGAAATATTCTTTCTCTGCCTTCCGTAGAATAGATTTTACTTCCTTTTTCAGGTCTCTGAAAACCTGCCAGTCATTCACCGACCCAGTCCTCCGCGCTTTCCTGTGCATAGAGTCCCTTGTCTTCATGAGATCCTTGATATCGTCAGTGATGAATGGATTCGGCTTGCGTTTTAGCTTTACGGTTTTCATAGGAGCATGAGCATTCAAACAGGTTAAAAAAAGGTCATTAAAAGCATCTAACTTTTCATCTACAGAATTCATCAAGTCAATCGTATCTCATAGGATATGCGCTATATCATTTGCAAATTGGTCAGCATTGTGCTTCCCGAAACTTCGTGTTGTGATATAATTCGTAGCTTGTTTCAATAAAAAACAGGTTACCTAACATAAAATGTGTGTTACGTCCGTCTTGTGTGGTCCATGGGCCGATTTATGGCCGTTTTATGGGTTGTACTGTAGACGGGTTTCTCTCTATATTAAGGTTTACCAAGGTTGGGGACTCCAGCGAAGCGGCCCGACGGATCCACGGAAGGAAAACGGCCGTACGTTCGCTCCAACGGCTCCAGTCGTCTCCAAATTCCGCCTAGGTAACACACGATAGTTCTGCTTTCCATTCGTGATTTTGCTTCAAGACGCCTTTGCACTGAGAGCGAATCAAACGTCGCCAATCTCTGCAACCTTTCCTGTCTGAAGCCATTGACAGAACCTTGATTAGAACTCCGCGTTACCGTTGAAAGATAGCGACACGGCCTGAGACTCAAATTACTCACACTCGGGGTGGGAGACAGTCTCTTGCTCCCGTTGACATCAATACCCGAGAAAGAAAACAACAATTTACCTTGAATCTCGGACTTAGATCCTCATAAAAACTTTGCTCACTCGGGTTTTCTTCTGAGCTCCCAGCCGCGAAGAAAACAGTGAGGAATTTCTCCAGGGCAAATTTGTCAAATTTGTCGCTCGATCATTTGACTTTTCTTCACAACGACAACGGAGTATTCTCTTCAACTCCCACTCTTCGTTTTTACATTTCATCGGTGCATGTTAAACCGCACAGGATAGGAGATTTGCTGAATTTGCCTCAATTTTCCCGCGCTAGCTTTTCTTTGCGTGCACGAACGGGAAAAGGGTAGATGGCTAACTGACCAATCAGAGCACGCGCTGTACTTTTGTTATGTTATAAATAAACCTTGTATGAAGTAGTTTTTGTTTATTCTTAAGTATGCTTTCTGCCTTAAATACTTGAATTTCGAGTTTTTTTTTCTTTTTTCTACTACTAAGACATACTCTTCTCCCCTCCTGGACGACTTTGAGTGATTAATTTCCTTGTCTCAATTCCCTTACAGGAAAAAGGCAACAACTACGTGGAGCAAGCGTACAAACTCCTATACCAAGGCCATCAAGAGAAGTACGGCAGCACGAACGAGATTTAGAGAGGCAGCTCAGAGAGGTGCGGCAACGCGAAGAAAATTTTCAAAGACAGTTGAGGGAGTTACAGCAAAACTCGCAAAGACAGCAGCAACGCGAAGGAAACCTTCAAAGGCAACTAAGGGAGACACAGCAACGTAAAGAAAACTCACAAAGGCAGCTGAGGGAGATGCAGCAACGCGAAGGAAACCTTGAAAGGCAGCTGAGGGAGACACAGCAACGTGATAAAAACTCACAGAGGCAGCTGAGGGAGATGCAGCAACGTGAAGGAAACCTTCAAAGGCAGCTGAGGGAGACACAGCAACGTGAACAAAGCTCACAAAGGCAGCTGAGGGAGATGCAGCAACGTGAAGGAAACCTTCAAAGGCAGCTGAGGGAGACACAGCAACGTGAAGAAAACTCACAAAGGCAGCTTAGAGAGATACAGCAACGTGAAGAATATTTGCAAAGACAGCTGAGAGAAAAAGACCAGGAAGTAAATGAACTGGAGTTAAGTCTTTCCTTAGCTCAGCAAACAATAACTGAACAGCGACGACATGAAACATGCGACTGGGTCATTTCCCGTAATGAAGTTCAGATGACAGAGAATTGCCTAGGGAGGGGTGGTTGGGGAAGTGTCAATGAAGGTACCTACTGTGGCTGTACTGTGGCAGTGAAGCAAATCCATGACCTGATTCTATCCCGTCACAACAGGCTTCTATTTGAAAGAGAAATGAATATTGCTTCAGCTTGCCGCCATCCCTGTTTGCTACAGTTTATTGGCGCCACAAATGATGAAGGAAGTCCGCTATTTGTGACAGAGCTCATGGAGAAAAGTTTGCGAGCTTCGTTTGAAGAGCGGCCGCTTTCCGAAACAGAAATACGTGTCATTTCTCTAGATGTGGCTCGTGCTCTTAACTATCTTCATCAGAAGAAACCATCACCAATCATTCACCGGGACGTCAGCAGTGCCAATGTGTTGCTATGGCGAGAGGGTGAGCAATGGAGAGGCAAAGTGTCAGATTATGGCACTGCTAATTTTATGCAGCAGACCATGACAGTGGCTCCTGGAGCTACGATTTACAGCGCACCTGAAGCACTTTCGTCAAATCAGACTCCTAAGGTTGGTAATCATTGGTTTCAGATCTAAGTACTGCACGACCATTTGGTAGACTTGATTCATTGCTGATTATTCCAAGTCAGTTTGGTACTTTTACTGTTACCGGGTCCTTTAGACAAAATTTTGTTTCCGCATTTAAAGAAAGGAAAAAAAGCAGTATTCGCGTGAGGGAGATTTCCTAGATTAAGAAAAGAAGACGTTGGTTTGCCTATATCATTGAACCAGGCGTACTCATAAAATCACCTGAGTTGCTAGGATTGAATCGACGTAGTGTTATTTTCACGAGAGCTTGCTTGTCATTAATAAGAACAGACTGAAGTTAATAACACCAGTACATATCTATATTGTTCTTTTTTAGGTCGACGTTTACAGCTTTGGTGTTTTGTTATGTGAAATGTCTATCGGGGAACTTCCAGATCCTGAAAGGCGTGACGAGCAAGTTGTTCTTATGTCGAACCGCACTTTAAGAGGCCTGGTACGGCGATGCCTGCAGATAGATCCTGAAGCGAGACCAACCATGCAGGAGATCATCGATGAATTATCCAGAGCTGTGTAACATCGGTTCTGTCTGTTGTCGCTGCTGATAGAATGGCCTGGCAGTCTATAAAAATGCCTATTACGGAAAGTCAGGTCGAATTGTTTATCCTGCCAAGGTTGTTTACAAAAGTATTTCTAGAAAAAAATAACAAAGGTGAAAAATCGTCGTATATCATGAAAAATTGGTGTTTTTGTCAAATCAGTTTTACACTCAGCGAAGTGTGTTTATTTCACACCAAAGAGAAAGCGAGGTCTTTATAAAGTTAAGTAATCATGCCCAAAAGCCATATTTTTTACATTTACCATTGTGGGTGATGGCAAATAGATGCTTAGAATTAACCTTAGTAAAAGAAGTAAGGCCTGCGACGATATCGCTGAGACGTCATTTCGATATCCTAAGCTTTTTGTATGATCGTTAGAGCAGAAGTTTTTATTTTTGTAAAGACCATTGAATATTTGACTAATAACGTGATAACGTTGAAAACTTTGCTCTTTATTCTAACATATTATGCAATTGGTTACTAATAAAAAAAATGTTTTATATTAATTCTGACGAAATTTATGCACATAAAATAGATAATATTGATTGAAGGCAAGAGTAGATAATTCGGTAATGGCAAGTTTTAGGATATAAAATTAAATCTAGTAGGCCTATTAGGCTTTTTCAATAAGAGTTCTCTATCCAATAGGTAGCTTACTCATAGAATAGAATTTGTCCAAATCCACGTTACTTAGTTATAAAGTAGGTCATACGTATGAAGTAGGCATTGTGTTAAATAGACAATATTGAGTGAAGAAACAATTATTTCAGTATATGGCTTGTAAAACGTTTTATAATATACGATTGAATTTGGCGAGCAGGTAGAACATTAAACGAGTATAATTAGAGTTTCCTATCCAACAGGTAACTTTTTGGTAGAATAGAGTATTTCATTCATACGTTACTCATAAAGTATATCAGTATATGGCTTATAACAAAACGTTTTAGGTTGTGCGTTTAAATCTGCCTACTAGCCAGCACATCAAACAACTGTAATTAGGGTTTCCTATCCAATAGGTCACTTATAATTAGCAATTATATTATTGAATGGGGCTGAGTACGAAGTGAAGAATTATGCAGATCGAGGAGGATGAGATCTACCTATGAGATCTACCGAGACTGAGCTTACCTCCTCGCATAATACATGTATCCTCTAAGCTTTGGCCTATTTTTTCACAGTTTTAGGATATAAACAGAGTTTTTTGCAGATATTCCTCAAAAAGTAGTTAACGTCCACAGAGCAATATGTTTTGTGTATTCTTGTTTTCATTCCGTTCCGCGCGTTTTCGTCAGAAATTCAGCTATTTCGTCTTCAAATAGCTGCATGAAGGTCATTTTGTTTAGTTTACTCGTGAATTAATATATTGGCCGCCTCGCCTGGAAACGAAGTTGACCGATGGTCTATTAGTCTGCTACACAGCCGTTCTTAGTGTCGTCACGCAACGCTCCTCCCCAGTGGGGAGGAGCGTTGCGTGACGACACTAAAAACGGCTGTGTAGCAGACTAATGGTCTATTGCCCATGCAATCTCGTTTCCAAATCAATATACAGTACTATTGACTGATCAAATTCGTTTCCAAGGCAATATACCACCGAATCGCTGGTGAATTGCTCGCATCTTCCAAATGTGGTAAACACCAGTGGGTTATAAAAAATTAGCCGAGGGTTTTAAGCCAATCAGAAACTGTGATATATTTTGAATGAAAATTATAATCGATTATACATAAATTCAGTTATCACTTGCTTATAAAGTTAGTCGTCCACACAAAAAAAACGATACGAGATAAGAGTAGGTTGGTAACCTGAGATCAGGCGTTATTATTATTATTATTATTATTATTATTATTATTATTATTATTATTATTATTATTATTATTATTATTATTTTATTTTTATTTTTTGCTTCTTTGCTTCTTTGGCTCGAGAGGGAAAAAATAACGCCCTCCTCCCGAAAACAGATTACAGAGATAAAGGGAGAGGGCATGATCGCAGGCTAGTCGATTGGTCGCTTAAGTATATCATTAGAGTTTTCTATCAAATAGAAGAGGGTTTTAGTTTTAGAATAGGGTTACTTATAAAGTTGGTCATATCATGAAAAAGACAATATCATTCGAAGAAACCACTAACTGATGTTCAATTAATATGGCGGAAGGCTTGGTACAGCAGCGTTTTGAAAAGTTAATTCTGGGACTCTGGAACCTGTGGGGGAGGTGGGGAAGGGGAGGGGGGGTGCGAGCGCACCCGTCGCACCCCCTCTCCCTACGAGCCTGGCTTCTGTAAATTATTTTTTTACTTTAGAGGAGTTCATTCTCACAGTTGCATCATGGGTAATCTTGGCAAGATGGCGGGATATTGAAAGATTTTCATTGGAATTCAAAGCCAGCTATTTCTTCCTGAATTCATATATTTGATAGTTTCTCTTTGAAAAGAGTTACTTCCGAGTTCAAGAAACAATACACTAAATCTGAAATTGCAAAGATGTCCGTGATCAGTTTTTAGAAAACCTCAATTTTTCCATACATTTTCTGTCATTTTGATACTGTAGAATTACAGAAAATGTATTGGAAAAATCAAGGTTTTCTAAAAACTGATCACAGACTTCTTTTCATGTCAGTCGTGTCTCAGCAGTCGACAACTACAGTCGATTACTGTACTTCTATTCTGGCTGTCAGCTATCGTGACATCTTACTTCTATTACTTCTATTACTTCTATTTTGTTACTTCGCCAACAGATCACTGACGGATCATGGCGCGTAGCTGGGGTTTGAGAAGGGGTGTTTGTACTGATACATCCTCGGAGACCCAAGGGCTGTTAGTCGGGCCAGGAGCATCCCCGGAAACCCAGGGGCAGTCAGTCGGGCTGGGTTAAAAGGCGCGACAAATGTTTTCAAGCATGGGCGGAAGAGCTTTTCCGCCCATGCTTGAAGACTTTCGTAGCGCCTTGTCTCCCGGCCTGACGGACCGCCCCTGGGTCTTCGAGGATGGAAAACGTTCGTCGCGCCTTTGCGCCTGGCCTGACTGACTGCCTCTGGGTTTCCGAGAATGCAGATCAACTGGTCTTATAAGTGGTAAGAAACGCTAGTTAGTGAAATTGACTTTTTATATGTTTCTGCGTAATTCAGCTTTAAGGGAAATTAACAAATATTCGGTCAATATTCAGATTATATATATATATATATATATATATATATATATATATATATATAAAATTAATACCCTGTGTGAAACACAAAAGTTTCTTATCATTGTAGACAACATAAGCAAGGAAAAAGCACGTTTTAAAAGACAAAGGGAAAAAAAAGTTGAAATAACTAGCTGTAGGGGGAAGGGGATGTATGTTTACCACCTTGTAGCGGAGTAAACTTGTAGTTGTCACTCAAGGTGTTCAGGACTGATGAACACCAATATTTTGTGCTTCGATGCTAAAAATAAAAAGAATGTTTGAGAATGGTAAGGGGTCAAGTAAAACCATACCGTGACTGGTCTCCTTTAGATGTTTAACAAGTAGATCTCCTTTCACATGACAGTCCACTGAAAGCCCTCACTTTCCCAGTTGGGTGAGTTGGACACGTGGCTTTCTCAGATTGATCAGTTTGTCTTGCTAAGGAATGTATTTTACTTTTTAATGGTCAACTAAAAGGGAAAAAGTTTTTTTGGAGGCTTTTTTCTTCTTCTATTTCTTCTTTTTTTGCTTGAATTTTTCAGGCAATTCAGCCTGTGTAAAATGTCTTTGTTTTTTTTTTTTCTAATCCCTCTCCATCCTTCCCTGACACAGTGTAACCTTCACACGAGGATATTTAGTCGGTATTTTTTCTTTCGCTTGCACCGTAGACCATTTTCACCGTGACTTAAGCGAAACGAGCAAACTACAAAAGAGAATACCTGCAAAAAGTAAACCTGGTCTGACAGGTTAAAGAGGATCACTGACCCCAGACGTGACATCACGCGTTTTAAAAATGAAAAGAGAAACTGTGGCTGGGTAAATTCCCCGTCCAAGATTATTCTTCAAACCTGTGGGCTGCAGCAGCTTTTTGGCATCTGATCGGTCTTCAGTCACAGAATTTCTCTGGAGTATGATTTCTATGAACCCATTTCTCGTTTCTTGGACCATCGTTTTTGAAAGTTTACTTTAAAAAGTTCTCAGTGTTTGACGAATGAAGAGTAAGCGGTGCTATGTACACTAACGTGTAAACTTTGCTCGAGCGCGAAGCATTTAAACACATGAAGGAAAAAAGTCACTTTGAATGTGCATTTTGTTGATCTAGTCTGAGTTTTCACAAAATGGTAAATAAAACCAAACGAAATAAAATGAATAACGCCTCAGCGGACAAATCCAGTCCATACCTGGTCCTTGAGGCAGCTGCGATTTTCAGTAGGATGAGAGACTGGGGACGAGGTGCACTTCCAATAAACAAAATGGATTGGCTCAGTTGGGTCAGTCAGTTGTGCTATACACAGCTTTGTGTTGTACTTGGTACCGTCTCATTGCGCGGTAAGAAGGATGGAGCAGGAGAGCTACAACTTTGGTATCGTGCGAGGTTCAACGATTGCCGCATTTTATATGCCAGTAGGACAGCGGGGCATGACGAGATGGTATGTGAGTTACTGATGTTTTCCTCTTTCACTTCCAAGAGTGCACTGACAAAATCAGCAAAACCAAAACGTTATCAACAAAGAAGTCGAAATTTCATTTCTATGGGTACTATGTGAGAGTGGACTGATAAAGGGGTTTCGTCCAGGGGCTCAGGAGTAAGAACTAAATTTTATGGATCCATAATTGACCCCGGTAGTGAAAGGTTTTAAATATATAATTTAACAATACAATTATAATAAACTGGTTCAAGACTTCAGAGGTAGTGCATGGTTTTATTACTATTACTACTATTACTATTATTTCGTGCGGCAAAAAGATGACCACATTCATCAGGTAATATCAACGATTGACCGTTAGATTGTAACAGCTGGCAAAAAAGCAGAAATAAGGTTGCTATGAGATATAAAAACAGTGTTATGTTATCGTATAAATCATGTGATTGCTATTTATAATTTGGGAGATTGTGTTACTTTGTCATAAAGTTCCGTGAGGAGGTACAGTGAAACGTATTAAGCCCCCCGGGGGGGGAGTTACTTCCTTATAAGAGGCTAATAGGAATGTGCCGCTGGATGGGGTCGCATTTTCACAACTGGATTGACTAGAATGGGGTCGCATTTTCAATAGAGTTACTAGAATGGGGTGGCACATTTTCGGATTTTTTGGGGTAAGACAGTTCTTCGTATTTACGGTCAGCAAACGTACTAGAATGTTTCTACTGTAGGTGAAAAGTAAAGTCTTCTTCATTCAATTTAAAAAATGGTTCAATTCATAAAAATAAAAAGTGACTAAGTTGGGATCGCGAAAATTACATAATTGCCCAAAAGTGACTAAGATGGGGTCTATAATTGGTCACAGAATAGACTATAATGGGTAGGGGAGTCTGAGAGGTCAGCGGCACATACCCAGCAAAAATTTAGCCAAGTACCTCCCCCCACTGCCCCCGGGTGTTAAGCGGACACCTTCGGGACCTTCCTAAGTGTCCGCTTTTTATAGAGGTTTGTAAAAATTGCGCAATGTTTGTTAACGATTAACATTCAATGGTTACTCTGTACTGTGATTAAGTTCCATGTTCTTAAGGAAGATAAGAAAGCTGTGCTGTACTTTGCGCAAGACTTTTAGGTGAACTTTGATCGCGGATGACGATTATACTGCCGGATATCGGTGTAATATACAGGTTTTTGACCTCTAAATGTATTGATTTATCTCTACGAGTCGACTACACGTATTTCAAGGAAGTAATCCAATACCATCTCTCCTTACTTTTTTCAGTTTGTAATTATGCCTGAAACTACAATGAAGGTCACCAAGGATGAAGTTACAATTAAAGAACTAAAAGACTGGTGGGGTCACGAAGGACAAACTGTTCAACTAAAAGATGCTGATCCAAATGAGCTTCAGCTTTTTATTGAAAAAATGCCCGTTCCAATCAAAGGTGAGAGTTTTCAAAGTAATTTCCAAAATTTTGTTTAAGTTTTGGTTTTGGCCGGGAATAAAGAGGTACATGGTTGAAGCTCTGTATAAATGTATGGAACCAAACAGATCAAAGTTAATATGGTTAGTGTAGCTATAGTGTTTTTGGTTTTAGTTTTTAAATAAAAAGAGGTTATTAGGTTAAACTTAGTGTATTGTACGAAGGTTTATAAAAACAGGTAGCTCAAGCTTATGGCTAGAGTAGTTAGTTTGGTGTTTTTGAATTGAGAAGCATGTGGTTAAACCCGTACATTTGTATGGATCAGCTGGGCTTAAATATTAATAATTGATGAGTGAAATATTCATGTATAAACATCAACGCTCATAAATTTTGTCAGCTGGGGATCTTCACGTCAAAACATTGTTCGCTGTGTCAAGAGGAGTAGACTACTAGAACAATATTGATCTTCTTAAAAGCAACAACGCCCGTAGAGCATGATATCCGGGTGGCCCCTGTTCTAGTGATTTGGAGTAAAAAAAAATAAGATCATGTTTCAAGACTAAATGAAAGCTTTGAGTCAAACATTAGTCTGTAATTCACAAATCGATTGATGCGAATTGCTTCCTCGCTTCATTCTTCTCTCGCGCTGGCGGTTCCGCCGACAAAATTTCCCCTCAGACCCTGAATCGTCCTCAGTAGTTTTCTTATCAAAAATGTAGTTTACGTCATAGAAAGTGCTTTTTACGGGGTTGTATTCAAGAGCTTGTTTGTGTCAAAACCCGAACGAGCGAGATACGAGCGAGTGAGGGCTTTTGACACAAACAACTCGTAAATATGACCCCGTACAAAGCACTTTCTATGACGTGAACTGTTTATTACACATATCACGAGAATTTTCACTGAAATAGTTTTCTTAATGTAACACATAAGCTTATTGCTAAGAGCAAATCACAAATACTGAGATGCAAATGCAAATTTAATAGCAATGGCAAATCTCGCAGCACATCCTTAGTCCTCATCGTGCAGAACAGATAATGCACTTGTGCAAAAATTTAATCTAGTATGATGTTACAAAAGATGTGGGCTTGTAGAGAGGAGTTCACGCTCATAGTTGCATCATAGGTAATCAGGGCAAGATGGCCGGACATTCAAAGATTTATATTGGAATTCAAAGCTCTCTAATTCTTCCTAAATTCATATGTTTGATGCTTTCTCTTTAAAAAGAGTAACTTACGAGTTCAAAGAAACAATACACTAAATCTGGAGTGCAGAGAAGTCGGTGATCAGTTTTTAGAAAACCTTGATTTCCCATACTTTTTCTGTAATTTTACAGTATCAAAATTACAGAAAATCTGTGGAAAAATTGAGATTTTACTAAAAACTGATCACGGACGTCTAGCTACTCAGCAATATTAAGTGACAATCGGAGCGAAACGGAATTCTGAATTTCATCTTCTTCATCAGCATCTCATTTATGCGTATGTGTCGCTCAGTTTCAAGAGAGAAACGCAGTGCATTTAAAATTTTCTTTGAAGTCATAATTTTGAATTTTTCTTTTTTAGGTGACACTTAATCAGTTCGCCCATGTTACTTACGTGATTTTCATGATTACCTTGTTTTCATTTTGATCACGAATTATCTTTTCAGAAAAAATGCAAAATCTACGCAAAGCAAATTCGCCAAGGCGAGCCTCAAAATTAGAAAGTCAGTGGAGGGATTTTCAGCGATGTGAAGAAAACTTCCAAAGACAGATACGGGAGATGCAGCAACGCGAACAGGATTTACAAAGGAAACTCAGAGTGGTTAAAGAACGGTATCAGGACTCTCAAAGCCAGCTAACAGATATTGAGCAACATGAACAAAATATGCAGCGGCTGTTGAGAGAGCTTCAGGAACGAGAAAAAAATTCTCAAAGGTAGTTGATGGAGTTTCAACAGGGTGAAGAAAATTCTCAAAGGCAGCTGATGGAGTTTCAACAACGTGAAGAAGATTCTCAGAGACAGCTAACAGAGTTTCAACAACGTGAAGAAAGTTCTCAGAAGCAGCTGAGGGAGTTTCAACAACGTGAAAGAAATTCTCAGAGGCAGCTGACGGAGTTGCAGCGGCAACTGAGGGAGATAGGACAACAGTTGACCAATTGCCGAGGACAAGTTTCTGAGCTACAGTTAAGTCTTTCAACAGCACAGCAAACAATAAATCAATTGCGGAACCAGGAAACACGTGACTGGGTTATTCCCCGGGACGAAATTCAAATCACAAAGAAATGCCTTGGGAGGGGAGGATGGGGAATTGTCAATAAGGGAACGTATTGTGGCTGTACTGTAGCAGTGATGCAGATCCATGAGTTGATTCTTTCTCCTCATAACATAAACCTGTTTGAAAGAGAAATGAATATCTCTTCTAAATGCCGCCATCCTCACTTACTACAGTTTATCGGCGCCACGAAAGATGAGGGAACTCCTCTGTTCGTGACCGAGCTGATGGAGAAAAGTCTGCGCACTTTATTGGAGCACCGGCAACTCTCCGAGACAGAAATAGCCGTCATTTCTCTGGATGTAGCACGTGCCCTGAACTACCTTCACCAGAAAAAACCAGAGCCTATCATTCATCGCGACGTCAGCAGTGTGAATGTGTTGCTATGGTGACAGGGTGACCAATGGAGAGGCAAAGTGTCAGATTATGGTACTGCTAATTTTATGCAGCAGACCATGACAGTGGCTCCTGGAGCTATGATGTACAGCGCACCTGAAGCACTTACATCAAACTAAACAGTCAAAGTAAGTTTTAGTGACTGTTCAAGGCTGTTAACATTAACATAGAATTAAGTGACCCTTACCCAAACTTCTTTCCATGCATCGTATCGGCTGTGGTTTCTTCTTTCCATTGTCATCGTCGTGGATCACGGAAGAAGTGGCCGCGTTGGTTTTTTTGGCTTTATAATGGCACAGTGTTATGTTTTGTTGTTGTTGTTGTTGTTTTTTTTTTTTTCAAGCGGAGTAGAAAACTATGTCTGTTTAGCCTCTTGAGTTATGCAACGGACAATTTTTTGCGAAGTGTACTGTTGAATTTCTCGTTTTATAAGATACCTGTATATCTGTTCAAAATTAGTCAAATATCTGCCATTTTTGGCAGTGATTTTGCCACTACAGCGTATATGTAGCTCATTGTTTAAAATTAACCAAATCCACCGGTGTGCACCTAAATCTGGTCTTAATTGCGCTCTTTAACGGCGAAATTTCAATCATCCCTTCTTCGCGCTCGAATTCTCCCCCCTCCCTACCCTTGTAAGTTATCAGTCAACCTCATTTAGACCATATCATTAGTGAATTGGTTCTGGTGCAGCTTTAAGATGTTTAGTCACTACAACATGTATATTATATAAATAACGAGACGCCCGTGGGAATGCATTGGTGTATACAGGCATAAAATACCGTTTGATAGAGGTTGGAAAAATGTTATTTGAAAAGGGTTTTTTCTGTCTGCCTACAGTCCCCATATAATCGCTTTTTTTGCTCTAAATTCCGCTCATAGGTTCTCAAATTCACTGCAACCTAGTCAGATACTATCATACCGGTTCAGCCCAAAAAGAATTTTTGACCTTGAAGGAAACACAACAGAACACGGATCAAAGAAACACCTACGCTATTGGTCACTTTTGCAGCCAATGGCAAGTTAGTATTTTCGATCCTAGCCACCAGTATTTAAACAGTCTGCTTCGCTCTCTGTACCTAAGACTTTACCATAGTAGCAACTGACGAGGAACGCTATAGTTCCGAAACTGCAGTCTTGCTTAAGAATCCATAGCAGTCGCACAGACGACTGTTTAGCAAAAACTTAAGAAAATACCTACGAAGGAACAACAAAACATCGCGCTCTAGTTCAAAGACTCACTTATGTTAAGAAAAACTAAATGGACTGTGTGAGCGCTAAGAGAAATATCTTGACTGACGCACGGCATGTTTCTCCTAACTTGGTGTAGCTTTAGTTTTTAAGCTACAGTGTACAACTCATATCTGAAGATCGCACTATCCGTGGAAATTCAAAATCCTGCAAACCACACTATAGAGCTGGGCCCAGAGTCATATTGACATGGCAGGAAATAATCACATTCACGGACAAAGAAACTTGCATGCATGCATGTAGTTATTCAGATACAGTCATTTCGGAGAAAACCAAAAAAACTAAAATCTTTATTCAGCCGTAATAAACAGAGGTCAAAGGATATAAAACACTTTACAACTGCATCTGAAATCAAATCCTATCAGGGACACCTACCGAAGCATAAACCACAGGAAATGATTACTCAGTATGCATGTAACAAACCTGCTTCATGACCTCTAAATATAAGATTTAGTGCGGCAAAAACAAGATTTACTCAGTCAAAGTTTAGAATGCTACACCTCTTGCACTGTGTAGTGCTAGTAACCTTCGTGCGAGAGAAAAACGAAAGAGAACCACTGTTCAAGCAGACTCTCAAGGTCACGTTTCACATTATCACGAGCTTATGAGTCGTGTTTAGCCTGTCAACGCCTATTTCTTACTGTGTCTTGCTCAGTTAAACCTCAGCTACTTCCTCACCGAGGCCTTCGATAGAGGATATCCTTTTAATATCTGCTTTTCCCCCATGCTAACAGACTCATTCTTGACCATGTACATTTGATGCTGTGGATTAGTTACAGGAATTTTTCCTTTCATCATCCGGCTTCTTCCTGTTGAACGTATCGCGACGAGATCTTTGCCTCATTGCAAACGACTTGATGATATGGAAGCTGAATTCCATTTTCCATGTCAAAACATTTCCCTTGCAGTCAACTGCTAAATTTAGTTCTCCCGTCTCATAAAAAGAATTTAAGTCTTGTTCAAAAATTAGGTATCCAGTACAAGAGTCGTGCTGTTTCCAGTTAACAGGACACTGAGAGTTTCCTTAGTTTACATGTCGTCTATTAGAATATTATTCGAACCCGCGACTAAACAATGACTTGTGATTCAATGGATAAGTTCGAACGTACCTTTGGCACTTTTGTTTGTAAATGTTTTGATATCCTTGAACCTATATGCAGTACATAGCTCGTATAAGCTCTCATAACTATGAGCATAGTCAAAGTGCTCTATTCCATCCTGTCCATCGTACATGTATCTAGAATAAATATAACCAGTAAGTATAAGACGACATATAGGTCTTAGAAGCCAACCTGTGATTGGTCCAATTAAAAAATAAGAATTAGTCGATTTAATGACAAATCTCGCCGAATGCACCTTTTTGTTCCTTGCAAACATTCCTGTTGTATAGTTTCCTTCATATACCGTAAATCCCCTATTAACCCTCCCCCTCCCCTCCCCCCCAGGGTTTTTATCTATTTCAAACGCGTTTGAGGGGGAGTTTAAAAGAGCCGGGGGCCTCATTTAGGGGGGTGGGGCTTATTTGATTTAGCGATGATGGTTTTACCAGTTCTCCATAAAAAAACTAGAATGCAAAGTGGATTAGCCCAAGAACAAGAAATTGGAGGTCATTTAAGCCGAGGATTAAAAATAAATCCGAATTTCCAACATGTGAATAAATCATTCAGGATCAATCCAAATGAAGTTTTAAAGTCGTGATTGATTAATACAGTATATCATTCATTGGTAAAGAATAAAAAGGGGAAGGGGAAGGGAGGCTTGAAAGAGACGGGGGGCGTTTTTAAATTTTCTTCCCTTGAATAGGGGGTGGCTTATTAGCCGGGGAGGGGGCTTATTTGAGAGAGAGGGCTTTATAGACGATTTACAGTCGTAAAATGATGCACAAGTGATAAGAGGACAAATGACCACTAATGTTGCGCAAACTTCCCGGTACATACAACAAGCTTTAATTGGTTCTTAAAAATACTCTCGTAATGAACAATGGATCCAAACTGCTCGGGTGAAACGACTCGCCTATGAATGTGATGGGGGCGCTCGTCAGCACATTAGAATTAGGCTCCTTAGAGATCAATCTAGGTATGGCTTGGACTAAGTTTTAAGAATTAAGACTATACTAAAAAAAGACAACAAACTAAGCGCTATAGTGATTTTAACTGTGATAAAGAAGTTGGCATCGAATGATGCACTCTTACAGTTTGTTTAATATGGATAACTTCTTACGCACAGCACTCGATGATACCTGAATGGGTGTAAGATTGACTTCTCGTCCTGAGCAACTTAGTCCAAGTTTCACTACCATGAACAAGCTTTTTCTACTAACCTGCGAATACAGCCGTTATCTGATCTCCTCGCTCCTCGTCTTAACTAGGTCTATCTAAATATTTCCAACTTTTACCGTAGCTACACGAGTTAGTTCTGCAGTCAATCAACTCCCTTTGTCCACTATTAAGCACAGACGAGAAATTTACAAAATTTGCGAATTTTTATTTCGTGATAACGAATAAACTGATAAGAAATTTGTGGACAAAAGTTACATGAATACATAACTCTACTTTGAATATTTTCTTCACTTGGCTTTCGAAAATTGCAAAATATATAATTAAAGTTTACGATTTTTTGTAATAACCATCTTTTAATAAGAATAAAAATGGTATTATACGATATCTCCCGATTGAACACGAAGTATTGAGAGTAAACTTATTATGGTAATCTTTGTTCAGTTAATTCAACGTTATTTAATTAGTTTGCGCCCGGGAATCAAACATACTTCAATTTACTCCTAGTTTTATCTTTTCTTTTTTTAATATTGCTTTTTGGACAAGGTTATTGAAATTATTTGTCCACTTCTAATTTTAATGATGCGATGTTACATATTGCAAAGACTGCTATTTATTTCCAAACACATGTGATTTTACATGATATGCCTCGGGGATGTTAATAATTTATTAATCCAATAAATACATGATTAGCCTGGCTATTTGACAAAGACAGTAGTGAGGGTGATGTAAGGTTTCCTGTAATTTAGGGGGTCAGTCTAGGGACATGCCTTTCGTTCACAAAAGTTGAAAAACAAATTCTCAGTACCGTAATTTACAGCACTCTGAGGATTGAATAATACAAAGTGATAGTGTCGAGGGCAGTTTTCATTACAATTTTTTCTATGGGGAAAGTTTTGCCTTCGTTATTCAATGATGTTGTTTCTTACCATCATAAATAAACTGTCAAAAAGGAGCTTTTACTGAAATACAGCGGCAGCGCGGTCCGAGACCTAAAAGTGATGAAAGAACGCTTGTACAGCTGTAAGGGAGTAGACTATGTATTCTACCAACAGTGTTTAATTGTCCTAAAATAACGTTTGGTGAAATGATTCTCATATTTTTCCAAAGCCAGTTCGGCTGAACTGACTGCAGGGCCTTACCCTCTCTGTGCCGTTATTCTCTCTTGATAATACGTATTTCTGATTTCAGGGAAACTAACAGATAGTTCAATTATTGAAATTTTTTGTATATTTTATTCCCGGCCTTTTAATAAAACAGCTTCTTGGCATGTATATGGAACATGCACGTCAAAAAGACAAGGGGGAAAGGATTCGAAATAACTCAGGGAAGGGGAAGGGCATCGTATCGTAGCGGAGTAAACTTGTTGTTTATGGCATCACTCAATGTGTTCAGGACTGAACGCCAATATTTTGTGCTTCGGGGCTGGGAATAACGAGAATGTTTAAAAATAATAAAGGGAGGGACGT